AATATGGAAAAACCCCATTTCTACTAAAAATACAAAATTAGCGGGGAATGGTGGTACATGCCTGTAATACCAGCTACTTAAGAGGCGGAGGCAGGAGAATCGCTTGAAGCCAGGAAGTGGAGGTTGCGGTGAGCCAAGATAGCGCCATTGCACTCCAGCCTGGGTAACAAGAGCAAGCAAAACTCCACCTCAAAAAAAAAAAAAAAAAAAAAGAAACAAACAAATCTTTCCTTCCTCCTCCTTCCCCTACAACCCACCACCAAAAAAAAGAAGGCTGGAAACAGTCTAAATTTCCAACTTAGTTGAGTTGTTTAACATATTAGAGTTCATCAGTGCAGGAGATTATTATACAGCTATTAATTGTGAGGACTATGTATAAACATGGAGAATATTTAAGATCTGATATACGCTATTATTGTAGCTATCAGAAATCCTGCATATTTAGAAATTAGTACACAAAAATGAAAACAACTATGTTTGGGGAAAGTGATTATGTATTTATGTTATCTTTAAACTTTTCTAAAAATTATGGGATTACAAGCAGTGGCTCTTTGTGATGACCTAATAAATACCTACTAAATTATACACGGGACAACAAGCTCAGCCATCCTGCAATGCCTCCTGTGACCTACTTCCAGGGCCACTCTGAATGGACAGAGGTCTTCACAATGGAGGTGGAAATGCAGGGAGTTCTATGTCGTGAAATGTGTTTTCTGTTTGCTGCCTTAGTTCCCACAAGGAGGCAAAACAACAACTGTGGTTTGTTCTACCTTTTCTAGACATAGTTCTTCCCCTACCTTTGTGATCCCCAAATTAATATCAAATGTCTAATTTGTTTTTTTCCTCCACTGGTGATCCCCAAATTAATATCAAATGTCAAACAAAGTAAACCAAAGTACAAATAAAGGTAAAACTGCTCTTGCAAAGGGCTAAAATAGCAATACTTACTAGCGACATTCAAGAGCCAGTTCAATTTCCTTTTTCTCATTAAGTGGTAAAATAGTAATGCCAAGACCACATCCCAGAATCTCCAGGGTAACAGAGGCCCCAAGAAGGGCTGCACAGAGTAACCTGAAAGTCAGCTGGCTTAGTTCTTTACACACAGAACTTGTTCTACAAAGATCTCTTGCAAAGCAGTGTCACCAGTAGCATCACTGCCACTAAGCCAGGAATTGAGGAAAGGAAGACACCCTTAAAGAAAAAAACAACAATAAAAAAAGCCACAAGGACTGGTACGACAGCAGATGTCTGCCTGGGTTTCCCTAGACTGTCTTAGGTAAGTTTACCCAGGAAGGTGTCTCCCCATGACATGTTTGCCTTTCTTTGTTTAAGCCTTTATCCTCCTAAATGAAAAGAAATACCCCCGACTGGGGAACAAGGAGTGCGGTGTGTGCAAGAGTGTGGATTCATTAAACCTTAACGAGCGGCCGGGCATGTGGCTCAAGCCTGTAATCCCAGCACTTTGGGAGGCTGAGGCGGGTGGATCATGAGGTCAACAGATCGAGACCATCCTGGTCCACATGGTGAAACCCCGTTTCTACTAAAAATACAAAAATTAGCTGGGCGTGGTGGTGTGTGCCTGTAATCCCAGCTACTCAGGAGGCTGAGGCAGGAGAACTGCTTGAACCCAGGAGGCGGAGGTTGCGGTGAGCCAAGATCACGCCACTGCACTCCAGCCTGGGTAACAAGAGTGAAAACTCCGTCTCAAAAAAAAACAAACAAAAAAAACAAAACAAAAAACAACAACAACAAAAAACCTTAACGAGCAAAGTACTTAAGTGAATAAGTTTACTGGAACTTGTTGGGGGTTTTGGTAGCTGGTAGGATGAAGAGAATAGGCTTGGTACCAAGTCACCAAGAAAAAATGATAAGAGTTGTGTTCTGTTTTCATTTTGGACATCATGTAACATTCTGCTTTTCCTAACTATCACCTATATGTCTCTACTGATTTTTTTTAAATTGTGATGACAACTTTTCAGCATCTGCTGATTTCATGACTGTTTTAATTCTCAACTATAACCAGCCAGATAACTCTGGTTCCAAATTAGATAGGTGAAAAAACAGATAACTTTTTTTTTTTTTTTTTTTTTTTTCCTTTAGATGGTGTCTTACTCTGTTGCCCACATTAGAGTGCAGTGGTGTGATCTCAGCTCATTGCAACCTCCACCTCCCAGGTTCAAGTGACTCTCCTGCCTCAGCCTCCCAAGTAGCTGGGACTGCAGGCATGCACCACCATGCCTGACTAATTTTTTTGTATTTTTGGTAGAGACAAGGTTTCACTATGTTGGCCAGGCTGGCCTCGAACTCCCGACCTCGGATGATCCACCCACATTGGCTTCCCAGAGTGCTAGGATTACAGGCATTAGCCACCGCACCCGGCCAGATGATCTTTATATTAGATACTTGAATTTACACTGAATCCTGCCTACATCTAAAACCAATATCTGCATAAGAGGCAAGAGAATCTTAAGGGTTCAAACTCCCATAAACAGCACTGTTTTTAATCTGTTGCCTACAACATACCAATGAGAAAAATCATGGTATCGTATCATAAACTGCTATGCAAATGATGCTATTTGTAAGTATTAACATAATTTAGTGCTTACAGTCATATTCTCATTTCTAATAAGTCTCCCAGAATGGAGTCTTTCTCTGGACTCTTAGCCTGCAGGATAGTCTTTCATCAAGAAGCTGAAATTTTTAATAACCTGCCAGCATATGTTTTGTATGTGCCAGGCTAGGCTTGATAACACAACATCTTCATTATCAAAAGAAACAGGTCTACAAACTGTAATAGGACATTAAAACATGCCTGTGCTCGTAAAGTAATGCTTTGATGTATAAATGTGCACCATTACGATGGTCCTCTGGAACAAAGGAGAATTCTAATCCTAAATTCTCAATAGCTACACTCAGTAGAGGCTGCAGTTCACCTCCACTCTGAATATGATTTCACTTTGAAGGTAAAAGAATGTCATTAGGCTCCTACAAAAAAAGGCACCTTTTCAGAAATACTTTATTTTTATTTTGGGCTTCACATCATGGCTAAGCACTGGCCTCAGACTGTAAAGAGATTTCTGACTAATTATTTTTTCCTTGTTAAGTTTTAAAAAATGATTTAGATAGATTATTAATTATTCAAGAGCTTTGCATTTAATAACATGAACAACAGTGCCAAATGTATTTGGTGCCAATTAAAAATGTTACGGCTTAAAATAACTGAAATTTAAATAATGCACAATGAGTTTTCCAAATACAGTTCAGCCAAATGTCAGTATTTTAAGTATTTTTTAAAGTCAAACATTTCAAATTTATCATAGTCTAATGTCAAGAGAATTCTTTAAAAATTGTTGGTTTGAAATATTGAGGCCAACAATTTAACACTACAGTGTTTTAAATAAAATATCAACACTCCAATGTTTTAAATAAAAAAGCCATATTTTTATAGTTTAATCTTAACAGTGTTGCTTTAAAAAGAAAATTCTATACAATATGAAATAAAATCCAGTTCAAAAAGAATATAAGGGAAACCTCTATGGGCCTCAAAATTAAATACATTTTCTTTGTTTTATCTTTATCTAGAAGAGTAATTCATTCTGGTATCCTTTAAATATTATGTAAAAAGCTGGCCATGACAGGTACTGCATTTAGTCCATTTACTGATGGAGCGGGGAACGAAGCCCAGAGTAGATCATGGGGAAACCAGCCACATTTGTCAAAGGGAACTCTCTCTCCTGACTGTTTTCTAGATTTATTCATCACTCCACTTCCCAAGAATAATGTGATTCCCTCAAGTATGCCCCTCCCTCTCTATCACTTATGTCTTGATTCATATACTTTCGTATTGGGATGCTCAAAGTAGACGCAAATCACTTTGCACAGCCCACTGCTATGTATGCCAGTAGGGAAGGAACCAGTAAGGGAATTTGCATTGAGATTTTCCTAATCAGTTATGCTTTAACCAGCAGGTCAGCCAAAACGGAGATTTGGGATTAAGAAAAGCCAAGCAAAACTGGGTTTCTGAATGCAAAGCAACATAGTTTTAGAATTTATATATTAAACCATATAATATTACTTTAATTAAGCAAATTTGGAATGGACTAAAAGGTTGTATGATTCATCCCTTCACAAATGTGCATGGAAACAATCTATACACGTCCATTCATGCTAAGACTTCATATCTAGAGCTCAGCTTTTGCTGGGAGATTTTCTGGCTTGGATGTACTATTTTCTCAGCATCTCACAGGGACCAGCAGTTACATAAATTTCCTTGAAATGTCTTCAGAAACATATGACTGCCGAAAGAAAGCTATTATACATTACCTTCCAGGTGACAACTATTCACTAATAGAATTTCTATCTCATAATAAAATACAGTTAGCTTAATAACAACAGTTGTTAGAAGCACATGATCAGGAACTACTTAGGGCAAATTACAAGGTTTGTAATGTTACCTGAATATGATTAAAAAATTACTTCCTAATTATCATAATCAGTTTGAAGACCTGAATGAACACTTTTGGGGCCCAGAGAAGAAACATTGAAATTAACCCACTTGTGGCTCACACCTGGTAATTTCAGCACTTTGGGAGGCTGAGATAGGTGTATTGTTTGAGTTCAGGAGTTCGAGACCAGCTTCAGCAACATAAGGAGACCCTCCCCACCGCCGCCATCTCAATAAAAAAAAAAAAAAGAAAGAAAAAATTAGCCAGGCATGCTGGAGCATGCTTGTAGTCCCCACTACTCAGGAGGCTGAAGTGGAAGGATTGCTTGAGCCAGGGAGGCAGAGGTTGCAGTAAGCCCTGATTGTGCCACTGCACTCCAGCCTGGGCAACAGAGTGAGGCCCCATTTCAACAACAAAAAAATGAAGATAACTCAAAGAACTCAATCAATCCAACTCATTATGTACTTAAGGAAAAAGGTCCCAAGAAAGACACTGCTGACAGGTGGCAGAGCTAAGTAGAGAGGAAAGTCCTTTAAGTCACTAATGAATACTCACTTGTGCCCATTTCTTTCTCCAGTCTTCAAGGCCGTATCTGCTACTCTCCTTTAGCACCCATTTGTAGCACTTTAGGTAGGAAGGAATGTCACAAAATGCAGTCCCATTTCCTCGGAACTCATAGTCCATTTTGAAGAGCCAGCGCTGTATTTGCAGGTGATCAGTTATCAGCTGACTCAGCTGCTCTATCATCTGTGGGACCGAAGACACAGCCACATTTAATACAGTTCATTTCCTGAGATTCCTTTTTATCAGTATTAACTTAGTTGTTGTACTTCTCATGTGTCTTTACTTCTAATGGTTTGTTCATTTGGTTATCTTCTAATTATTAAGAAAGATTAAAGAAGTTTAAAGTGATATAAATATGATATGAGGAAACCATTAACCAATGAGACTAAAGACATGTTTAAAAGCATAGTCTTATTTATAAGAAATTCTGAAATTATCATTTTGCTGGTTTTTGAAGGCAAAAGGAAGAATCCTTGAATACCTGTAATTGAATATTGGTATTGTTTTCTTTCTTTGTTGGAGACTTAGGAGTTTACTTATTGATTTCTCAAATGATGTTTTAATTGTTTCAAGACTATAAAGAGTTATAGTCTTGAAAACTGTAACTGTTTGGGGGTTTGTTGAGCTTTTCACTGCTATAACACAGAAACCATTTAATTTCTTCCTTATTAATGTACATGAAATACATTTGTTTGGCTGGCCAATTGACCAAGTTTAATATACGTGTGATACAAGCAAGTATATTATAGAACGAGACAGATAAAGGAGATTAAACATTTGTGAAAGAAACCTTCCTGGAATATACACCTACTTGACAGTTTATTTGAAACAACACTCCCGCAAGAACTGGGCTCAAACACACAGAAGTTTAAGGCATAGAACAGTAGTCCAAGCTCTAGTATCATAATAATGATGATTACTCTAAGATTGCTGAACTCTCAGTAGCGGACAGGCCTTTGGCTCATGTCAGTTCTTTGCGTGAATTTTTCTCATTTAATATAATAATCTATGAGGTGGGCACAATTATTAGTTTTCTTTTATATGTAAATAAACTGAGGCTCAGCTAATTTAAATAACTTGTCCACAATCACCCAGCATTGAGTAGCAGAGTAGGAATTCCATTCAAGTTGGTTTGACTCCAAAACCTATGCTCATTCCCTCTTCACTGTGCTACCTATCCCAACCCACAGAGAGGTGGAGAAGGGTAAAGTGGAGAAAGAAGTCAGAGGAGGAGCAAGATAACCCACTTTCCATACAGTCAATAAGCCATGTGGGGTGAGTTTGAATCAGGTAAAAGTCTATAGCAAGATGATTTAATTATAAGTAATATTCTCCTGGCAGAGCCTGGGAGAATAATACCTCATTAGATCAGAAAATGATTTTTTTGTCTTATCTTCTTATAAGACTTTCCAGTCAATATTTCCCAGAAAGCAATGAAATAACACTAAGCATTCTGTCTCCTGAGCTTTCCCATACTGCTCTTGGCTATGGTTTCCAGTACTGAAGGACTCTGTGACACTCTTATCCTTTTTTTTTTTTATCAGTTCTGTTTGCCCATTAATTTTTTTTTTTAAACTAAAGGGTGTGAAAGATCTCATGATTTACAGTTCTGTTGAAGTTTGGGGCGATCAGTTTAAAAATATTTTAATTAAAGGCCCAATCTGTTCTTCTGGGTTGTGTCTATCCAGCAAATCTTCCTGGGGATATTATACTACATGGCAGTGTGGAAGAGAGAGCAAAATGGCCATACTTGGGGTCTCTGGAAACCTCTTACAACTATGGGATATTCAGTGAGAGTGAATATTGAAATTATCTTAGCTCCCTAATTATCAAGTAGTGTTTATTGATAATTTTAGTGTTTAAATGACAGAACTCCGGTCTACAAACCATATGGTGAGGAATACAGTCTAGGGAAGTTTTTAAAATGTGCCTTCCAAAGTTGTTTCTTTCTCTAATGTGTTGAGAATATAGATTTTATATTTAATCATATTTTGCCGTATTATGATCACACTTTGCAGAAGGAGAATGGTCTTTGGCCTGCTAACATCAAGTAAAATTCTTTTGCTAGTATAAGGGAAGGTGGTCTGGCATAGATTTTTAAAAATTACATATTTAGATATAAAGTATATTTGGAGGTTTCAACTACTAACAGAATTATTATCTATTTCTTCCAAATCTTATTATTTGTTGCTTCTGAGAATCCTATAAATAGGCATCATTGATGGATCCTCTACAGTAATGAAAAGGATCAATAGTATTGTAAAGACTGCACCACTGGAAAGAATTATGTGCTATCTTTAAGTGAAAATTGAACAGTGCTTTAAAATAGCATCGCCATTTTTGATTATTTAACCAAAGCTGTCAATATTTCATATGGAGCAGATGCCAGAAAGAGAACTTGCACAGTTACTTTATGGATCAAAACAGGAAACGCTCACTGTGTTCATGCTAGATTTAAAAAAACGAATCACAAACCAAATGACTCTATGCTATTTCCAAACATTTATCACTTTTCTGTTTGAGTCTATCTGTTCAAAAGATGTAATACATTTTTTTTTAGCCGTGATTCATTTTATACTGGTAAAGAGCAGAAAAATGATTACTGCTAAAGTCCAACTGAAAGTCAGAAAATACTTAATAACCTAAGTTAAAATAATCACAGCCTTCTTTCACCAGCTTTGAGTTTATGATGCACATTGGTAAAAAGTCAGTGCTACTAATTCATCCCCATCTGCAGATTCAAAATGCTGACATGCTCAGATAAATTAGGTAGGATAGTCACTATCTGGAAAAATCTCAGTGGAATATTTTAATTCTTGATGACTTCAGATGTATGTTTTTCAAACAAATAGAGTAGAACTCAGTGAAATGTTGGTTTATTGTTACACAATTTGCACATACCATAGGTCAAATGACATCTCTCAAATCTGATGTGTCCATAAGGAGATTTTTAGTCATACTTCTGAATACTAGCACTAGAGGGAGATTTTATTGTATTAAATGTGGCTGTATCTTTAACTACCGTCAACATATGCAGTTCTGAAATATTTCATAGCAAAGATTGCCTGAGATTTCCTCAGTAAAGATGAAGGCAAGACTCAATATAAATATTGCACATACATTTTAAAGTTGTGAAGATTGTTTAATGTGTGAAATAATATCATTTAAAAGTTCATTTTGCCTGTAATAAGTATAACAGCCAAATATTCTTTTGGGAAGCAGAGTCAAGCAATCTATCTTGTTATCTTCAAATTCCAGTCACCACTGGAATTTGACATTTCTAATGACAATGGAAGTGACATAATGGCTCAGGGGGATCCTCTCTACTCCACTCCTACTAAAATTGCCTGTGACTTCCCCGGGTTAAGAGAAACCTCTGTCTTGAGCTCATGAAAAGTGCCCAAGAACACTCTAACAAGACTAAAATACTTGTGGGTGACTTAATAAGCTAATAGTTTCTTCGAACTAATCTCTGCAAAGTCTGATTTGTTGAAAGGCTTCATTTTTTAGCTCAGTGGCTGTGAGGTGGAGAGCAACATGATCAGGCAACTGAGAGTAGGAGGGGATCCCTAAAAATAGTCCCTCACAAACTGCCTCATTGGGCATGGTTCTTTGGTTTCCCAAGAAGTGGGGAGAGGGGATAATATGTGATTGGCTCAGAGTAACGGTCAAGAGGTATACTGAAACAGAGGTTAGGAAATGTTAACAGCCATTTGTCTTTTAATTTTCTCTATTATGAAAACAGATGGCAGTTAAATGGGAGAACACCTGCCAGGGCTAACTCAAAGAGAAAACATTTCTAGTGGCTAATACATTTCTCCCAATGTTTTAGGCCCTGACTCTGCTGGAAGAATGCATAGCCACACACCTTGTCCAAGGCAAAACCTCAAAAACAGATAGTTTTATTCCTGGAGCTGTTTGACTTCCCTTTTTCTGAGATCTTTCCCCTTCTCCCTTTAGATCGCTTCTTGAAGAGCCAAGGAAGTCTGCAGCCCTCCGTACACAGGCCCTCTGCAATCTGACCCAGTGGGGAAGCTCACTCGCTGGAGCTTTCCAAACCCACTGCTTTTAGTGAAAACTGACTCTCATATTTCTTAGGATCCTATTTAATGACTGGCTAGCTGATAGGATAATGAAATAATCCATGTTAAAGCATTAAATATTGATAGTAGATTGGTTCAAAATATACATTTTAACAGTGCTTATTCCAGATGAGTAAATATTTTGGAAATTCCAGCAATTTCTGCAAGACTAACAGGAAAATATTTTTAAACACAAAGGTCTCATGTAGATTCCCTCAGGCCAGGCGTGGTGGCTTGCACCTATAATCACGGCACTTTGGGAGGCCAAGGTGGGCAGATCACTAGTGATCAGGAGTTCGAGACCAGCCTGGCCAACATGGTGAAACCCTGTCTCTACTAAAAATACAAAAATGAGCTGGAAATCATGAACCTGGGAGGCAGAGTTTGCAGTGAGCTGAGATTGTGCTACTGCACTCCAGCCTGGATGACAGAGCAAGACTCCATCTCAAAACTAACTAACTAAAGTAGATTTCCCTCAAATCAACTCAAGTATTCCACCTGTTCTTCATTGGGTAGGGCTGGCTCCAGAAGACTTGTCCAAGATCAAGAGGATGTTTCAAATATTTGAACAGAGCTTCACTTGTCCACCCCACATACCTGTTGCTGACTATAAATGTCATAAATTCCAGGAGGAACTGCCACATTGGCACTGTCAAAGACACGTTTACCTCCAGATTTGGTACTATAAAGATGAGCTAGTTCAGGCTCAGAGCCCAGGATGGGTATGTCTAACATATCGGCCACAGCTAAATCATCTCTGTGGAGGAGTCCGCTGACGATGTAGGCCTCTGTTCCTTGGATGAGATTTTTAATTCTTTTGATTGCCTTGGGACTGTACATCAGGTGAGTGGCCAGGCACATATGATGCTGCTAGGGGAAGATCATATTATTCTTGTTAAAAGATGTCCTTTTTTCTAGTCCGTATACCTAATTTATAATGTTGCACATAATAAATACATTATTAATAGCAGGCTGGGTTATGACCTATCCTGTTGTTTAGCAGTTTAAATTGATAAAAGCTGTTGGGGTGAGGTTCCATAATCGCTCACATCTTTAGTGTGTGGGAAATAGGCTCACTGGGAATAGAACTAATTACTACACATCTGTATTTATTTGATCCACGTGGAATTATCCTTCTGTCAGAAGGAAAAGAGGCTGGCGGCCTTTGGGTAATAGTGATTCATCTCTGTAACACTTCTGGCATGGTTTAACACTAAAGTGGCTGGAAAATCAATACAAAAAAATGAAGAAAAAAGCCCCATAGCATTCTTCACTATACGGATTCCTACTCTGGCAACTCTTTAAATGCTTGAGTAGGAAAAGGCACTTGACCTGACACCCTCCTTCCAAAATTCTACCACTAAATCTGCTTCAGGTAATATGAACTTTTATAATGATTATCATGGTTCTAGGCAACAACTCTGGAAAGGATTCACAAATAGAAAATAATCGAAAATTTCAGCAAGACTAGAATGTATTTTTCAGTGAAAACTCTTTTTGTTTTATTTTTGACTAGTTAGACCCAGCTCAGCAATACATGTGACTGTCTTATTCAATTAAATAAATAATTCTAGCTAGCTTAATGGGGGCAGAGGAAACAGCCAGATGGTCAGCACACACCAAAACTAACACAACCATGTTTCTGCTTTCAAGGGGTGGGGACACGAATCACAGTTAACACATAACTGAGACAGGGCAGGGAAGGACCATAAGGATCTACAGAGTCCTCAAAAGGCATGCTGATGGGGAGAGCTGAAAAGGCAAATACACATTCTCCTTATGCCTCAGTTTCCTCATCTGTAAAATGAGTGTGATGATCATATCTATCTCATAGGGATGCTGTAAAAATTAAATGAGATAATGCATGTAAGGCACTTATAATAGTACCCTGGATACAATAAGGACTTAATGAATGTTAGCTAGTACTGTTATTATGAAAGAGGTTGGGGTTGAGGTGAATTCTGAAGGATGAGTGGGATTTTATCAGGTGAAAGTAGGCATGGGAAAGGTATTACCCAAGGATAGAATAAAAGAACCCAAGATTGTTTTCCTCCCTCTAGAGAAGAAGGCAGCGTGGCACACAGGAAACTGATGGGGCTTTGGAGTGAAATGGGTCTGGCTTTGAATCCAGCTCTATCACTTAAAACAGGCGTCCCCAAACTTTTTACACAGGAGGCCAGTTCACTGTCCCTCAGACCGTTGGAGGGTCGCCACATACTGTGCTCCTCTCACTGACCACCAGTGAAAGAGGTGCCCCTTCCTGAAGTGCGGTGGGGGGCCGGATAAATGGCCTCAGGGGGCCGCATGCGGCCAGCGAACCGTAGTTTGGGGATGCCTGACTTAAAAGCTCCATTAATGTAAGCAAGTAAGTTAGACCCCCTGAGCCTGTTTCTTAACCTGTTAAATAAGAATATAAATTACCCATTTGCTGGGTTGCTCTGAGGCTTCAAAGACAGACCATAAATGCAAAATACCTAGTATAATACACAGCATTGATACTCGACAAATGGTAACAATTATTATTACAGAGAAAACCTTCTTAAAAATAAAGTCAGGCTAGGTGTCGTGGCTCACACCTGTAATCCCAGCACTTTGGGAGGCCACAGTGGGCAGATCACTTGAGCCCAGGACTTTGAGACCAGCTTGAGCAATACGGCAAAACCCCCTATCTAAAAAAAGTTGGCCAGGTATGTGCTGGTACACACCTGTGGCCCCAGCTACTCGGGAGGCTGAGGCAGGAGAATCGTTTGAGCCCGGAAGGTCAAGGCTGCAGTGAACCGAGATCATGTCACTGCATTCCAGCCTGGGTGACACAGTAAGACCCTGTCTCAAAAAAATAAAAAATAAAAAGTCATTAAAATGTCATGCAAATAATATAATGTAAAAGTGCCAGAGTCTCAAGGCAGTTGAAGGGATGTTACAGACTAGCATCTACTTCCCCAATTCCAGTGAAAAATTATCTACTCACTGCAGCATAAAAATCTGGAGAAATGCTAAGTAATTGCTTCAAGGAATATCAGATGTACCGGTTTGCAAATTGTTGGAGAGTGTAACTCCTGAGTATGGGAGGAAGAGATCAGAACTCAGGAGAACACCTGCATTTCAGTCCTGCCTGAATTTGTAATTTGCTAGGTGATCTAGAAAACTCAACCTTTCTGAGTCTCAGTTTCTCATATTCAAATGAGGGGTTGGATTAGAAGTCTCTAGGGTCCTTCCAGTTCTGAAATAACTTTCCCTTTAAAACATGAGCTCTTTTGGACTTATTGCTTAATGGATACAGAGTATCTTTTTGGGATGATAAAAGGTTCTGAAATTGACAGTGGTAATGATTGTACAACAATGTGAATGCACTTAATGCCACTAAACTGTACACTAAAAAAGTGTTAAAATGGTAAATTTTGTGTTATGTATATTTTACTACAATTTGAAAAGGCAAAAAACAGAGCTACTCCAAGAAGTGGATTTATGTGATTTCCCCTACTGGGCCCTTCCTCCAGATTAGGTGTTCTATTCCCAGTTCCTTAGTTCTATGAAATATGCCTTTTCTACAATAATTTTAAATCTTTTGTGTGTGTGTGTGTGTGTTTAAGTCGGGACAGAGTCTCACTCTGTCACCCAGGCTAGAGTGCAGTGGTGCAAACACGGCTCCCTGCAGCCTCAACCTCCTAGACTTAAGCGATCCTCCCACCTTAGCCCCTCAAGCAGCTGGGACTATAGGTGCACGCCACCATGCCCGGCTAATTTATGCATGTTTTGTAGAGACTGAGTTTTATCATGTTGCCCAGACTGGTTGCAAACTCCTGAGCTCAAGTGATCCATCTGCCCCAGCCTCCCAAAGTGCTGAGATTATGGGTATGAGCCACTGCACCTGGCCTTAAATCCATTTAAAAAACATACTTCTGAGAATGCAGTTCTAGGAAATCCAATGTTCCACTTGACAATGGCCAGTGAGAGCACCTGGCAGGTTTGTGTTTCCCATCTGGTTAGTCACTATCTTTCTTCCTTATTTCACTCTTTTCTTTTTCCCATAAAGTATTCCAATGAAGACACGAAAAAAAAAATGCACTGTCTCGGTGACTTGAGTTACAATGTCCATGGTGGGCTTTTCAGGGCACCCAGAAGAGCATTCCAGAGCAGCAGTCTTCTCATGGTAAGTTCACAAGATCAAAGCCCTTGCCATGTGATCTCTCATTTGATCCGTATGACATTGACTCAATTAACTATCCCTATTTTGGAGATGGGGAAATTGAGACTCAAGTGATTTGCCCGAAGTCACACAGCTAGCAAACAGCAGAGGCAGGATTTAAACCCAGTTAACACAATTGGCATGCCACTGCTGCCACAAGTTCCCCATTTTATCGAGGGAGTAGTAAAGGTCTTGTGGGTTTATAAGATGTGAAGGGGGATGGCAGATGCAATAGAACCTAATGTTAACATTCTGGGCAAATTTCTGGCCAGGATGGATTTCTGTCTCCTCTAGGTTAGCTTGTTTCTATTGGCAAGTACTCTACCCGACTCTGTATTATAGTTATCTGCGGACATGTCTCATATTCCAGGCAAGATGCTGTAACAGTATTGTGTTTGATATGTGTTTAATAAAGATTTAAATGAGAATGACTGATGGCAAAGGATGTATCACTAATCACAGGTCTTGTATGATCATTTGGAGAACATCAGTATCATCAGATCGAGGCAATGGATTAACACCGATGACAAAATCTAAAATGTTTCTAGTTCCATAGAATGATGGCTACATTTAATTTATCACCGCTGATTTTTTTTGACCCTCGATAAAAGATAGTTGTTAAGGATGTCTTCATAAACATTGAAATGTCTAAAAATAGACATGATGATTTTTATAAAGAGCCTGTTTTACCATTACAAATTCAAGAATCATATAGTAACTTGGAGAGATGTACAAACAGATTTTTGGCATGCTCTAAAAAAATCTCATAGCTATCATTTAAATGAAAATCAGCACTGATACAATCTCTCAAACCCATTAAAAAGAAAAAGCAATAACCAAACATAAAAAACAACTGATTTGAAAGTGAGAATTTAATTTTTGTATTTTTAGAAAGTTGATTGCTTATGAGTAATTACTCAAATAATTTAAACTTGAGCTATGAGGAGAACTGTTAAGTACTTAAAACTTTGCCTGTTTCTACTCACAAAGATGAAAACTTATACTATGTGTGTAACTCTGTGCATCTGAAAGTGCCTGTCTCAAGCTTAGAAGGCAAAGAGTGGACTCGCAAGGGCACAGTGCTCAGATAATAGGATGACAGAGTTGAAGATGACTCTGAGATGATCTAATCAATTATCTCATTTTACAGATGAGGACCAGCGGAACAGAGGGGTAAGGGGGCTTGCCCAAGGCCACGGGGTCGTCCAGGAGCAAGACAGTCATTCCGACTCATGATACTACTCGGGGGTAGAGAGATTTTGGTTGACACTCTGGCCTTACTAATCACCTTAAACGAAAAAATGAGTCTTGGTTTCCTCAGCCATAAAAGGAGATTGATAAAAAGAGCTATCTTTCCATCTTGTTGCATTGTTCTGAGAATCAAATGAGAAACTGGGCTGGGCGCAGTGGCTCATACCAATAATCCCAGCACTTTGGGAGGCTGAGGCAGGTGGATCACTTGAGGTCAGGAGTTCAAGACCAGCCTGGCCAACATAGTAAAACCCTGTCTCTATTAAAAATACAAAAATTAGCCAGGTGTGGTAGCACATGCCTGTAATCATAGCTATTCGGAGGCTGAGGCCGGAGAATCGCTTGAACCCAGGAGGTGGAGGTTGCAGGTTGCAGTGAGCTGAGATCGTGCCACTGCATTCCAGCCTGGGTGACAAAGTGAGACTTCATCTCAAAAAAGAGAGAAAAAACAAAACAAAACAAAAAAAAAAACTGTATGCTAAGAATTAGAAAAATGTTAGTTTTTAGTTTTCTCACTTTTCTTCTCCCCAACCTAGTGCCCCTTCCCATTCTATGCCTCTTCAATGTACATGGGTATTTCAGATGTGCAGAAACTCCTTACTGGCAGCCATTAGGTTAATTTTCTGGCTAGAGAAAATCAGGAATTTAACTAAACACGAATGGTAGTTCATTTTCTTCCTTGCATCCTAATGTTCATAGTAACTATGTCACTGAGGCCAATGTATAACTAGGAAGCACCAAAAAAATTCTTACACTGGTGGAGGATATTGGAAGGTTCCCCAGGATGTATGTACGTGGTAGTGATTTGTCACTTGTCCTTTCTTTTGCTTGGCCAGCCCTGTCCTTGCCTTCCTCTTTCACAGCCAAAAGTGCCAATGAAACAAAGCTCAGCAGAGGGTTTTTAGGGGAATATTGAGGCATCCAGTTATGAAAAAATAAAATCTTCATCTTGTTGGAAGAGAGTAAACCCTGAAAACAATTCACTGAGTATAATAGCAAAGTAGAAATGCTACTGCAACCTTCCCCAGCCTAGCAGGTCTTTCCTTAGGTCCCTCTGCTACCCCCACTTATTTATTTTATTTTATTTTTTTATCAAATCATGGTGCATCTGAAGTGTTAATGGGTAGTCACCCAACACATAGATGTTCCCTATGTGTATAGCATGCAGTCACTTCGGAAATAGATGGCTGACTTTGATGCATCTCAATTGTAAATGGAGACAGCTATCTTTATTTTAATTACACTAAAAAAAGTCTCCTCAAAAATGCATAGTCCATGAGGTATTAAACTGTTGGCTGTTTAACATGGAAAGTTTGAATTCTTGTTAAAATGTAGAGAAACTCATTTTAAGCCATGTGTTGTACTGCCTTATTCTAGAATGGTGCCTTTATCATTCCATGAATTTCCCAAAGGCTCTTGTCTAGGAATAGGAGTCCACTCAGAATTCATTCCATTCACTAAAAATCAGCACAATTAAAAACAACAACAACAACAACCTGAACATTGTTTATTACGGACCATCTGATATGGTAAATCAGGCCAAATTCCCCTCAGGGGAAAAAACACAGAGTACCTGTGTGGATCAGAAAACAGAGGGCCTGGTCTAGTTCTGTTCCTAACTAGCTCTGTGACTTTGGGCAGGCCCAGCCTTTCTCTGCCTTAGTGTCCTCCACACAAAATTAAGAAAAAGGAATGGTACATGTTATAAATCCACCCACTTGATGGTACTGCCTACTAACTGGAATTAGGCTACAGCTATAGAGAAACTGGGCAGGGGTAGCTCCACTAAGTCTAAAAGTTAAACTGGAATATTTATTTTCTATAGGCCAACTAGTAGTCTAATCAGTAAAGCTGTTAAACCTGCAATAATATTTCACTGATGTGTACCAGAGCGTTGCAAGTTATAAAATTTCCAATTTAATTTTACTGCATCCCTGAAGCCGTAGTAATTGGAAGACAAACTCACAGGGAAGATGTTTACAGCTTCAGGGGTGATAATTTTGAACCTGTTCTGCAGGTCACTTCTGTCCTCAAGGTTCCCCGATTTGACGGCTGCGTGTAGACTTAGGATTTTTTTGTAATACTGCACTAGCTCGTCATTCATATGATGGGAGCAGATGTAGATGACATTCACATTGGCATCTAAAAACAACAGGCACAATGTTAATTACTGGTATGAAGGTAAATGACGACATTATGAACTCTGGCATCCACTTGATATTGTATAGTTTAAAATAAAAAGCATATCCAAAAGCCACGTTGAGGTTAATTTAGATTGGTTTTGTACTATATGAGCAATCTAACTGGTTATTTTACAGTTCAGCATTTCTCTGAAGAAAATATAAATTACACCACCACCAATGAAATAGATGCAATGATTCCTTCAGAAGGAGGGCTGTGAGATACCTTGGAAATGTACTTTCAAATAATACATAGGGATTTAGCCACGCAAGATCTATTAACATCAATGGGAATTGCATACTGCTTTAAAAATTTATTTCATTAACTTCAGTAAGTTATAAAACAGAGCTATTAACTTTAGAAAGCTGATAAAATTGCAATTTCTTATTCTGCATGGACTTGACAGGGTAAATTGAGGGAATGTCCTGTTCAAATAAATGGTCTGCTTATAACCATAGCAATGATTATTTCAGGAAACCAACCTTTCCCCTACTTGATTCCCAAAATGGAGTACATTACTTACATAGCACATCTAGTGATTCTTGGTTGAAAGGAAACACCGTCTTAATTTAACTTTTCTCCTTCTTAAGATGTGCTTCTTACATGTAACATAGTAAGAAACCCTAATTAAATATCCCATCCAAATGGAATAGTGAAATAAGAGTAACTACTCTATGCTGCAGAATATTTCAGGGAGTATAAATAGGAAATCAGCAGTCAATAAAGTCTTTCATCTGTTCATTCATTCATTCAAAAATAGCTGACTGATTTGTAGGGGCAAAGCCCTTGGCTAGACATGGAGGAAAATATAGCAATCATTGTGGGCAAGTTGAAGCACACAGGTTCTTAGAGAAGTTCAGAGGAGGGAGCACTGTAAACATTTTCTTAGGCGAGGAGGGCCAAGAAGGGATTTTAAGACTCCTCTGATAGGTTTGGCAGAGTACATATACACAGCATAGACTGATTAAATTCTAGTTATTTAACCTTTCTAGGCATTCATTTCTTCCTCTGTAAAAAGGGGAATAAAACCATCTGAAGTGTAGAATTGTAGACAGTATTAAGTGAGTGAAGATATAGAAAGTATTTGTTGCCACATCTGGCACATAGTAAGTGCTCAAGAAACAGCACAGATGGGTGAATGTGCTCCTGGCCCACCCTGACTAGGCTAGCCAACAGCGACTCCCCAGCTGCCACACACCTACATTTCCTTTCATCAGTGCCTTAAAATTTAATATGAAGCAGTGTCCTTTGTGGCTCTAGCCTACTGTTTCCAATCTATTAATCTTGTCTCTCCAAGCTCCTTAAAGGCAATGCTGGTAGTATTTCTTATATTGCTCCAAGCCCTGGTACAATGTGGAACATGCAGGAGTCATTCAATAAACACTTGTTGACTGACTGAAGGGATTATGGAGAGATTTGGAAAGTTGGGAAAATCTTTTATGCTTAGATTCAGGACTTATAGGAGAAATCTCCCTCCCCAGAGACCTAGAGATCGTGTTTTCTGAACTGGCCCAGTGCTAGGCCAAGAGCAGGTGCTCCATACATGTGAACATTTACGTGGCTTCCATTTAATTTTGAAACATAAACCTCAAAATAAATAACTTGCATCCAATTGCTGAATCATCATTAGTCATCCTAACTCTTCTGTTTTGAAGAAGACACTAGCATCTAACCAAATTACAATAGAGGTTTTAAAAGTCAAAGTAATGAGTTTTTTCTTTTTTTTTTTTTTAAGTACGAAAGAGTAGGGCAGAAAAACAAGAAAAATAGCTTATAGACTGTAGCAGATGAAAAATTTTTTTCTCAGGAAGAAAATTTCTAGGTTACAAATGATAAAAGGAATCATGTTGCCAATTTCACCTTTCCTGTTGGTTCCTGGCAAAGGAATACATATCACTAACTCTAATATTCAGTGGGTTTTATCATGAATCTACATATGTTCACAATTAATTGACAGGTAATTTTAGAAACGAATTGATAAGAAGATGAAACTTTCTTTGATTGCTAGTTAGTAATCAGTCACTTTCTTGCTGAACTCATCTAGGAACTGAAAATACTGGCCACTGGGGTCTCCACCTGATTATCATGACTTCACAGCCAGTATCTAGTGACAAGCCTTACCAGTATGATTGGATTATCTTTGTTTACCCCAAATAAGAAGGAAAAAACCATAAAGGATAATTACTTATTCTTTCATAAAATTATTACAAATTTTTCTAGTTTATTCATGTTTTTATTTCATAAGTACTTTGTTTTCATCTGACTACTATTTCTAAACTTTTATTACTCCTCTTGAAGACATTTTATGATTGCATTGCTATATCATGAAGACAATATACCAAGAAAATGGCATTTCGTTCATAATCTCTTAGAAATGTTCATAAAAGCAAAATATTCCATTGCAGGTAGAGACAGACTGAATTATTGAGTTGTTTAAAATAGAAGCCTAATACTTTGAAGTCTTTTTCAATAATGAGAGTCTTTTATAAAGAGATTATTTGGCGATGCCTTATACTATATATAGAAAGGGATATAAAAAGCCAAAGAAAAAAATTAATTCGAATAAATTAGAGCAAAGTCTGCTCTCTGCTGCACTTCAGTGGTTTCCATCCAGTCAGTTTTAGTTGAAATGGCTTAGCATTAACAAATCAATCTTAAGTCATTAAATTCTTTTCGTAATGCTGAAAAACATCTTAGTGCCTAGATAACAGATTAAAGCAATTACGATTATTATTTTAGGACACTGTAAATTTCTAGTACTGATGTATTTTTGCTACCAAATGGCATTTATAAAATAATAATGATGTTGAAAAATATATGAATCATGTAAAGTATGTCATTCCACGAAGCCAGCTAAGTTGGTCATTGATAATTTAAAATTCTTCCTTGTTTTTCTTAAATAAGGTCCAAAGCAATTATATTTTAACAAAACAAAGAAGTTCTTATTTGATAACTAATAAAAATCTAATTTTTGTGTAACCTTGAATTTTTGGCCAGTATCTCACAAACAGATTCAATGATATTGCTTAGTTTTCGCAACCTATATTCTAGAGCCTAATCTGAACCCTGGCCTTGAACAGTGTCAACCAAAGCTGTCACATTCAGGCATCCTTCTCTCCTGACTCCAGATGAGTATATGATTAAGAACTGACCAAACCAGTATCAGAAATTGACTTGAACAAAGATGTATACATGACTCAATCAAGGTCTGTTTTTCTAAAAATTCCCTCCATAAGGCACTTCACATTTTCAAATACCACGATGCTCTATATTTATATAAAAGCTTCTTTTAAAAATCTATCTTCATTTTCCCCTTTTTCTTCTTATGAAAACACAGTGCTTCATTTCTGATACCACCTTTCACTGATTTCACAGATACTATAAGAGACAAGACTGACACAAATGTGAAATTTTGACTTCATTCACTGCAAGATTCAGTAAATAAAGATTTTGGTCTATAGGAAAGAAATGCTAATCCAAACCTGCAGCAAAGAGAATCTAGAAAACTGCCCAAGTAACTTGGTTAAAATGTCATTTTTTTATTCAAGTTGACTTTATTACAAATCTGTTTTTTAAAATAAAACATTTAATTGCCCTGTAAGTAGAGTTAAAATCTGAGCTTTTTTCCTTGTAGAGGAAAAAAATAAGCAAAAACAAAACAAACAAAAAAACATTCTATCAACATCCACTGATAAACATTCCGAAGAGTCATTTGTGTACAACTATTTACTGTACCTAAGATGTCACACAGCCTCCCCAGCTGCATGTTCTGCTGTATGTTGAAATCAGCAATACGTTCTCTCACAGGCTGGGAATACCCTAAAAAGCAAACAAGGTGTCAAAACCCAGAAAGAGCAAGTCAGTATAGCAAAATGGCACAAGAGAATTTCAAAATGTCACAGTCCACATTTCTAGGAAAAAATTTTCTCTGAAGTATCTTACAGAAACAATCCAATCCTGAAGAATGAGGTCTTTGTTTCTTGGGGGAATTAAACATTATTCTGGAAGATGTACTAAGCAACATACTCTGCAACAGAGAGGTTCACATTTTTTAATACCATCAAGGCTGCTAAGAATCAAGATGATAATACATGGAGAAAATTTCTGACATGCAATGTGAATGTTTAAAAGGATGTGTAAGAAAATGATGCTCAGGTTAAAAAATATTGTTTTGGCTTCTTAATGGGAGCTTCCCATGTGGTAGTTTGAAGATGTGTTCCAAAATCATTCTAAAGTGACACACAGATTTTAGATAAATCCCTTGCTGTCAGAAATATGTATTTAAATAATTCAAATACTAAAGAAATCAACATCTGCTCACAGTCAAAAGAACTTTTCACCTTCAAAGGGCAAGAAGGGCTAATGCAGTTGCTTTGTCAGTACTGATGAAAGTCCTGCAGTTTGCCTTTGTTTTCACTGGAAACGCAGCAGAAGGGAAAACACATATGGATTACTATTGCCCAAAAATCTCTCACAAACAACAGCAAAAACACTTTCCGCTGATATTTCAGGTCATTTAAAAAGTGAATCAAAACATAAAAAGCATGCGTACTCACAAGCAGGTATAATTGCTTACATGAAATTCAGCAACTATAGGTGCAACTTTTTTTTTGCTTTATAAAATTGCTTTTCACATTTTGAAGAGATGCTTCAATGCCTCCTTGTGGTTAGTGAGCCCAAACACATGTTTCAAGTTAAACTGCTCTAAATAAAGAGATTTTATACACTACATCTTCAAGATGTGACACACATTTCCTTTTCAGCATAAGGAAAACTATAGCAATTCAGGCAATGGGGCTTCAGACCAAATGAACTTTGATAATTGGTTCTTTGCTTTGATGTCAGTGTTTAAACACTAGACAACGTCTGGAAATTAAGTGTCTTTACAATCATCTAAAAGTCTTTGCTTTGCATCTGGACTCAAGAATTAAAAAGAGAGGCAACAGGACAAATGAGCTATTTGAATCATTTTTGAAAAATTATTAATCTCTCAAATAATTTAGAGAACCATTCCACATATAAAAGCTAATATAGGCAGTTACAACTCCAAAGATGTCTTTATGTATGACTACAATATTGTAACTTGGAATTTTGCATATGTATAATTTTATCTATATTCAAACAAATGTTTAGAAAGATGTATTGTGGATAACTTATATAGGAAGACTATAAAAAGGCAGGAAAATGCCTAAAGAATAAAGTGTGATTAAGCAAAGTGCCTGAGAGCATTCCACGACTGCATTTCCTTTCCAAAGTAAAGATAAAAGGCAGTATGTCTCATTAAGATGATGTCCAATTTAAAATATAAAGGATGTCTGATCACTTTGTTGCTGCATGTGCAGTATGTGAGTGAGTAAGTCTGTGCTCCATTCCAATGCTTGAGGTCAGTTTTCCAACAAATTACTTGGGACCTCTGTTACCACATATCAAGAAGGCATATAAAATGTTTACACAGAACACACTCATTTTAAAGAAGTATATGCTAATCTTGGAACATTGTTATGGAGAATCATATGCAGTTACAGATATGAAAACATCTTGCAAGCTGTAAAGTGCTGCATAAACACAAGGTATTTTAATGTTACAAGGTATGGATGTTTCCAAAACGTATAACAACAACAACAACAACAAACTCTGTGACAAGCAACAGCCACCATTCTACATGGACAAGATACAATGCAATGTAAAATGATATCAGCAGATCAGAAGTTGGAAGTGAGTATGTTTTTAAGTCAGGCTTGTTTTGTTTTGTACATCCATAAAGAGCATGTGTTGACAGGTAAAAATATTTCGTCAATGCTGGTAGCATACATTAAATATAACAGTGACTTAACCAGGAAATTATCAACAAGGATGTGGTTTCAGGGAGTTCAGTAGACATGCCTCGTGACAAGGAGACATTACACTCTGGACTATAATATACAATGACATGTTTTCTTCCAGGGTCTGATTGGGAACACTGAAGGAGTTCTGAGAGATCATCAACCTCAGTCCTGTCATATTATAGATAAGGAAACTCAAGGTAAGTGTGTTATCTCTTGTCCATGGTCACATAAACCTACAAATTATTATATAGTTCAGATACTACCTATTAGCTCTTGTGAGAAATTTAGATGTATAAAAGACAAGACTCACTCAGGCTGGAGTGCAGGGGTATGATCTCGGCTCACTGCAACCTCCACCTCCCCAGTTCAAGCAATTCTCCTGCCTCAGCTTCCCGAGTAGCTGGGACTACAGGCATGTACCACCATGCCTGGCTAATTTTATTTATTTATTTATTTATTTTTAGCAGAGACAGGGTTTCACTGCCTGCCTTAGCCTCCCAAAGTGCTGGGATTACAGGTGTGAGCCACTGTGCCCAGCCAAAAATGTCCAAGTTCTAATACCCATAACCAGTGACTATATTAGGTAATATATATTAGGCTACAAAGGAGAACTCAAGTTGCAAATGGAATTAAGGTTGCTATCAACTGACCTTAAAAAAAAAAAAGAGATTATCCCGGATTATCTGGCTGGGCCAGATGTAATTGTCAGAGTCCTTAAAAATGGGAGAGGGACGCAGAGGAGAAGAGTTGCTAGGTCTCTACTGGGGCAATAAGGTCCTACTCATCATGGGGGTATGCCTGACCACCCTTTTCTAAACTTCTTAGTCTCCCTTCACTGTTCTCTTGCACCCTTTCTTCACCACCTGTTTCTCATTTTGTCATTACATACTTCTTGGCTTGCTTGTTCACTTTATTGTCCATCTCTTCTTTCACCTGCACCACTCTAGCTCCCACAACCAGACTATTAGGTATGTTACAGCAGGAACCTGTGAAATCTCCAGTTGAATAATGAATGAAACATGTATGAAGCCCCTACTCAAAAAATCTTTTCTTTTTTTTTTTACAGGGTCTCACTCTGTTGCGCAGGCTGGAGTGCACTGGTGTGATCTCAGCTCACTGCAGCCTCAACCTCCTGAGCTCAACTGATCCTCTCACATCAGCCTCCCAATTAGATGAAACTACTGGTATATAACACCCACACCTGGCTAACTTCTGTCATTTTTGTAAATTTTTGTAAATACAGTGTTTCACCATGTTGCCCAGAATGATCTCAAATTCCTGGGCTAAAGTGATCCACCCACTTCAGCCTCCCAAAGCACTGGTACTACAGGGGTGAGCCACCATGCCTGGCTTGTCTTTAAATTCTTAGCCCTTTCTCCTGTGTGTTCTTATCACCACCACCCTCCCCCTCACCACTTTCTTTCAACTTTTCTAAAACTGGGTTCTCTGAGCTGGAGAACTTCTGGGGAATTCAAAAAATAAGAGGGATGTGTAGCTTCTTCAAGGTCCTCATTAGCACAGAATAATACAACACTGGCAGAAAGAGGCACTCTCTCTTCTTCCTCATCACTATAGAAAGGAACACGGCCATTCTCATTTCCTGCAAAATACTCCTAGTTTGATAGAGAGTCCCGTCTTTTCTCACGTAAGTAGTTGTGAAATATTATTGCTTCTACATCAAAGAAGGTTACCTGAGAGCTGCCTCTCTGAAATTATTCAACTACTACTTCTGGTCCTCCATTGAACCAAGGTTGCTCATCAAGGGTTACTGGCAGTCATTTCTCCTCCTCACTTCTACCTTGACTGAGTTTCCCAGTCCCTTTCTGCATGCATATCTATCAGATGATACTAATTGCCTGTTTGCATCCAGCAATCTAGCCCTGCTGGAATTGGCTTTTCTTTCACAGTAGCCACAGAAACCCAAGAACTAAGCAAGGCCATGCTGAGTGACTAAGCCCCCTTGGCACTGGTGCATGCCTCTGTGACAGGCCCCTGTTGTGGCAGCAGACCACACCTTCTTGAATGTCAGCTTTTTACCCTGTGGTTGACCCCTAGTTGCTTTTGTCTCCCAAGTCCTATTGCTTACAATGATACTCATGGCAGAGAAGAGGTTAACAATAGACTCCTGATTACCAACTAGTGGTTGTTCATCTGATCACCCTAGCCTGGGATGGTAGTCATTCCCGCCTCAGTTTGATGATCTGGAGCGGTCGTTCTCAACCTTTTCCTCATTTTGAAACTCGTGATCAGTGATGTTCGATGCATCACATCCTCCCCGCGGCACGCTCAAGCTTACTCCATCCCTTTCTCTTCTACTCAAGAAAGCACACTGGGTGCAAGCTGAGGAACAGTGACATTGATACAGAGATAATCTGGAATTGCTCCAATTCAGTAAAAAATTTTGGTGTTCTAATGGTAGAAAAACAAGAGGACACATTATATACTCACAAAGGATTGCACATCAGCATCTTGTCATCATAAAGAACTGTGATCTAGACACTGTGGTTGTAGCCAGGTGTTAATTACTTATGCAAGTGTGAAAGCACAATACACTAGATGGTGGGATCCCAAAAGATGGCAAGAGACAACTCTATCTGGGTTATTTATATAGTATATCCATTGCCAGTTAGATTAAAATAAAACTGATAGTTGTTTTTTGGGGGTGATTGAAGGGGATTAAGGAATTTTGTTTTAAGGATGTAGAAAACATAGAAATACATTTGTTGAGTTTTGAAAACATCCTGAAACCAAATGGGCCAAATGGATTCCCCTTCAAAAAAGTAAGGAAGTTCCCTTGTTTAAACTTACGTCAGTGATTAGCATAGCACTGCATGCAACTAAAGCCAGTGGTATGAGTCTATTTTCACACTGCTATAAAGAACTACCTGAGACCGGGTAATTTATGAATAAAAAAGGTTTAACTGACTTACAATTCCACATGGCTGGGAAGGCTTCAGAAGACTTACAATCACGGTGGAGGGTGAAGGGGAAACA